AGGTTTTTTCTGCAATTTTGTATCAAAACATATTAAAAGAAAGTTGAGTGGAAGGAAAAAGACAAAAAGAGAATTAAGTAATAGTAATAGTTACATAAGTGTACCTACACATCTCTAGCGGTGAGGTAGACGTCCCCCTGCCACTGTTTGCAGAGCGCTCGGACGACGGCTAGTCCCACTCCCTTGTTGCTTCCTGTCACCACGGCAACTTTGGTCAACATGTCTATCTGGAGAGACCTGGCAACGGACAAAAACCAGATGTGTTAGGACCGCAATGAATAGCAGAGAACAGCAGCAAGAGAATTTAAACTTTATCTCAGATGAGTCATATCAGGATGTAGGTGGGCTGACTGAAGTTTTGCCAGGTCATGGTGAATAAGGTTGGAAAATAGGGAAAGAGAGACAAATTAAGGTACAAAAAGCATGCTTTTAATGTTGTTAAGTACATTAAAAGTTAGCAACTTTTAATGTTAACTTTAAAAGTTGTTAAAGTTAACATTAACTTTAACAAATTAGTGTTAAAGTTAATGTTAAAGTCTCCTTCTCCAACTAATAACATAGTTGTTGACTAATGTTATTAGTCAACATTAAAAACAACAGATCATTTATTAGATGATCTGTTGATGTCAAGCAAAGAAAATTGAATTAGTTAGGTAGTTTAATTGTAAATACTTGCAAAGTGAAGCCATCAGCATGAGGGTCAAGGTTTATAGCCTGCACGCAAATTTAAAAAAATGGTTTCACAATGGTTTAATCTTTAATTTCATAATTAAAGATTAACTTTTCAAACAAGAAGTGAATAAATAAAGGCTTCATTAAACACTTAAAAAAAAAAAACAAGATTATTAAAGGCCTTGAGAATATTCTTTTTTTAAATTTTGTCATTACAAACATGGAAGTTAGTGTTTTTTATTTTGGTTTTATGCAGAGGTTTCTGGGGTATTCCCGACTGTTCTTTCTATATATCACTAATCTGAATATAATACTTGAAGTTTATGGAACAGCATCAAGGTGAACCTACACATTCTAATACAAAGAGCCATATGATGTATCTAGCGCACTCTGCACTCATAATTAGTTATAGACAAACAAGAAGGAAGTAGTTAAGAGTTACGTGAAGGAAAATAATTAACTCGGTCCTCATGTTTGACACCTGACAGGTATAAACGCTATAGTGAACTGCTGTTGTCTTAGTCCATCCATTCAGGGCCGTGCAGAGACCACTAAAGGGGCAGGTGCTCAAAAAAAAAGGGACACATCTTACCGCATTCTAGGA